ACTTGCAATGTCAGAAATTTGAGGTATCAGAGACAAGAACTTCTTCACATGTCCTGAAAATCAGGCACATTAACTCTGTTTCAAAGTACTTAGATGAAGTATACAGAAAGTGTGAGGACAGGTATGTGAGGGGTTTCAGTGCCCACTTGTGTACACTGTTAGCCTGGATATATTTGCAATCTCACTACTCTAAAATGTTCTTATAGGCACTGGATATGAGAACATTCAAAAGACTTCTGAAAGGGAATAAGCATAGTAGTGAGGGGGGAAATAAAGGCAAAGAGACCCTTCATGTATTTCAGAATACAAGCAGGTAGTCAAGGCTGACATGAGCTGACAAATGAGATTTGATGATATGGAGCTTGAAAGGTTTGGGGATAGTGCTTTTGTAGCCTGTAGAAGTGGAAGCAAAGATCTTTTTCTTCTGTAGGAAAGAAACAGTGGAAAGACTAAGAGGGCTAACAGGCAGGAAAATGTATTGGGGGACAGATCAAATTTAGGACTCGGAAGCATTGGGATTGATGACTAATATAGTGCAGCTTTCTTTATCAAAACAAAAAGCAATTTCCAAGGGTTGTGCTGCTTGCAGTGAGACCATGAATTATATACCTGAACCAACACTGTGAATCAAGACTTGCTTATTTCTTGAATAAATATGCCATAAATCTAATTGAATGGAAATTTGCTATCCAATTACTGATGCTCCAGGAAACTTCAAAATCTACTTTTTCTAAATCTCAACATGAAAAATCATATGATTTTGGGAGGGGAGGCCCTTCATTGTCTTAAAGTTTTGATGTCACCTGAAACATCCATGCCATTTGAAAAGAATTTCAGGTGTGTTTATAAAGAAAAATAGTCTCTAGGCAAAGATGAGGAGAGATGGTGATGGCCTGCTGAGTAATGACCCTGGACTAGGAGCCATGGTGAACTTCATTTGATGGTAAGGTGTTGATGTGAATGTGTAGAGCAGAGCTGTGGTCTGAGTGAATTGAGTAGAATAAATGTAAATGTTAGCAGATGCTCCAAGGCTTTGGAATTTCTTGGTGAGACAGTTTGTGGGAGAAATAGGGTAGAGAAGACCTGTGCAGCTTCTTCAGACCTGAGAAGTGGATGGATACCCCTCAAAAGTAGTTGAATAGGAGAGGGAAAGTGTGATACAGAAAACAAAAGTAGGAAAGCTGGATCAGAATTGAGAGCTGTGGAAGGATTATCTAGAACCTGGATGGAAGAGAATTTAAGGGGACTAAACATTCCTAGGACCATCATTCTGCCCCTAATGGATAGACACATCTGCTAAGTAGACATACGTAAGTAGACTCCACCTGGAGTGCTGTGTCCAGTTCTGGGTTCCCAGGTGCAAGAGACATGGACATACTGGGTAGTTTAGTCAAGGAACATAAAGATGAACATCTCTGCTATGAGGAAAGGCTGACAGAGCTGTGACTATTCAGCCAGGAGAAGAGAAGCTCACCTTTTTTTCATGAGGGTGACTGAGCTGGTACAGGTAGCCCAGGGAGATTGTGGACTCTTCTTCCTTAGAGACATTGAAATGGCATGTGGATATGGGCTTGGGCAACTGGCTCAGGGTGGCCTTGCTTGAGCAGGAGAATTGGAGCAGGTGACCTCTAAAGGTCCCTTCCAACCTTAACCATGTTGTCATTCAGTGATTGCATTCCATAGGAGTAGGCATTGTGTCTCAGATGTTAAGGCAATCTGTTTTAATTCCATCTCTCCTGGTTGATGGCCCCTGATTCTTGGATTGAGAAGAGCTGTCAATTCTTTGTGCCTTCTCCATTCCTCTGCTGGTTCTGTTGGGTTCTATCATATAAGCTTCAGTTGTTCGTAGTACGAGGTGCTTTAATCTATGGAATTGTTCCTTATATGTAAACTGTTCTAGACTGTTGGTCATCTTTGCCATGGTATCTGATGCACTACCAGTTTTTGCCTTCTCCCCAAATAAGGAAACAAGACTGTAAATATGTGCAATAGATAACAGTTTTCTGTAATCTTACGCTTTGTAAAACTTGATTTGTTTTTTACTGTCCTGACCATTGGGCCAGTCTTAACTGCAAATGTTCTAGGGGTAGTCATAGCTCACAATATTTTTGTGTGTTAGGATATATGCATTTGTTTATGTATATATTAAATCCCAAGTGTTCCCTCTTATACTTTGCTGCTTTAGATTTTTTTTTTGCTATTTTAATTTCCTTAGCATTCGGGTTGGGATTCTGCTACAGATTAGTCATCTGAACTGCTGCTGTAGTTCATAGAGTGTAATTACTTTTAACTGTTCCTTTTATTCTCTAATTTACCTCCAAACCAGTTGGCAGCACCATCCAGTGCATTCCCCATAAAGAAATACTCTAACTTGATAACCATGTCCAGTCTCTTGATTGTGGAGTAAAAAACATATACATGTATATGTATCTTAATGTTCTTCACTGGGGATTTGGCCTCAGACAGATTTCCCAATTCCAGGATGTTTGAAAGAAATCTTTTTTTTTTTAGGCTTTTTACAAATTTGTTAAATTCTCTGACCTGTTTTTCTGATTATTTTATATTTGTTTTATTAGTATTTGTCCTTTGGCATTAAAAATGGGTTTGGCTTTTCAGGTGATAACTCTTAAAACCTCTTTACCCTGCTGCTCTGGCCTCACTGAGCTCCTTTTGCCCTTTCTCAAGTTCTTTTTGACAGTTGTGTATTTACTCTGACTTACCATGGGATTTCTCTAAATGTCTTCCCATATTGTATGTATACATTTTACTCTTAAATAATTTGAAACATAATCATATAGCTGCCCTTTAACTAAGGAATACCAGAGCTGAGCTGTTGTTTTTTGAACAACATGCCAAAATGGTTCAAAGTGGTTCCTCAATATTTTTGGTCAGCTTCTGTTCATTGCTCATGTTAATCAGTATTCCTTTGTTCTCTGCTGCCTTAATGAAATAACAATTTCCAGTTCCTAAATTTTAGCATCATACCTTGATAGGATTCAAGTCTGCATGGTGGTAACTGAACTCTCCTGTTACTGGGTTTCCTATCTCTGCATCTTTCTACACTTCTCCAGCCCGGTGCAGTAACCATCTGAGGCGTGTAATACACAATATACACATCAGATTGTTCTTCTACAGCAATTATTAAAATAATGTAAATGGTCTCCTAAAAAAGGAGAAATTATAATTTCCCACCCATTGCTACTCCAATCCTGCTAACTGTTTTTGAAATGGAGAAGACTCATCATATGAATCTGTTCGAATTACTCTTCAAGAATAAAACTATGCTGGGTGTAAAAACTGTACATTTTTTCCCCCCTTCAAATGTTTTTTCATGTTTTTTCAGCATGTCCCAATTCCTCCTGCTTTCACTTGCACCCTATCTGAAGGATGCCATGAAGATTATGGCTACTGACTCTTGAGTCTTTTTCTGACTTTTTTTTTTAATTTGGTATTGACTATTGTCTATGCCAATAGGTTCATTTCCCTTTCTTTGGCTTCACTTGGAAAGTATCACATTTGCTATTTCTTTATATTACTTCAGCAGGCTGTGTCTGGGAACTTCACTGCTCACCCCTGCCCCCACTACCATGAAGTCAAATAAGCAGCTGGTACCCTGTCCTGAGGAGGCATTCTACAGATTAGCCAAAACCAAGTAATAAGAACAGTTTTAAATCACTTACTCTCTAGGCTTGTTTGAAATACTTTGTGACTGTGCTTTGATCTGTAATTATAATTAAAAAAACCTATCCTGGTTGTATCAAGTATTTTCATATTTTTTACACTCATCATTAGTGATGCAGTTTTTGAAATATGAATCACTTGTGATGAAATTATTAATCTTTTCTGATAAGTTTACCAAGGAGAATTGCAGAACTTATTTGAAATGGGATAGGAAATTTTAAGGCTAAATCTGGATCTTAATATTATAAGTAAGTTGGAATTTCTACTGAAATTGGGACAGTATTTTCACTAAGTTACTACTATTGAGGTTAATTAGATAATGGCTTGATAGGTAGAAAGATAATGTGGAGGTTGTGGCTGTTTGGTTTTTTTCTATGTATCTGTAACAGACTTCTTGGAACATGCCTATATGCCTATAGAACAGTCATTTTAAACTCAGTTATAATCCATGGGTTGAAATCATCTCCTTTTCAAAGGAGATGTATATTAGCAATGTTGTAGAAATCCTGTTTGAGAGAATAAATGATGCAAATTTCTGATGGATTGTACCTCTAAATTTCTCCCTTTACTACAGGGAGGAAAGGGGCAACACCACCTTTAATGGATCAAATATTTTTGAAAACTGGTAGTTTAGGTCTCGGATTTTTCATCCATATTTTAAGGGTCAAAAATAATGGAATGCAATTAATGTTTATCATTCTTTCAGAAATTTAAAATATACTGTTATTTCTTATTCTTAACTACATATAGAACATCAGATTATAGCCTGTAATCACATTGCACATTTATTACCTGTCTGAATGTTTTCTGCAACAGCTGGAAATCTCTTTAGAACCAGAAGAAAACGTAATTTTTCTGACCCACTCAATCTCTTACATACAGTGTTGTCTTTGGATTGCATTTAGAAGCTTGTACAGGATCAGAAGGGAGCTGTAACTGATTCCTCTGTGCAGGGTTTGAGTACAATACACCCTGACAGCTTCAAATTAACCTGTTGTTCAATGATTGTGATTTCACAGAATCTCAAGTCCAGTTCTAGGGAAGTTGGCTGATTCCAGCAAATTGGTTTGAGTGTCTCTGTATGTGAGTGGCTCAAGCTCTAGTGAGAAGCTATCGCTGAATCATGTCTCTCATCTGTATCTTTCAGCATTTTTGTTGTGTAATTGGATTAAAATGTACAGAAAAATTATAAACTCTGAACCTCTCTTAGACTTCGGCTGGCTGTAGCAAAGCAAAATTGTCATGAAGTGGGGGAGGGAGCAGTTAAAAGGGAGGCCAAGGGTGTAATGTTTAATGGTAAGTGTTCCATGTGTTCACAGGGGCCGTGGAGGGGTGCCTCCACCACCAGCAGGAGTACCAAGAGGGGCACCAGCACCCAGAGGCGTGCCTCCCAGTAGAGGTCCAGTCAGTCGCAGCCGGGGACTTCTAGCACCCAGGACAAGAGGAGTGCCTCCTCCTGCAGGCTACCGGCCCCTCCCGCCGCCTCCAGCCCAGGAAACCTATGGGGAATATGTAAGTCCAGCTGTTGATAAGCTTGCATGAAGTGTGCAGTTTTCTGGGAGTGACCCTGTTACCTTGGGACTCAACAATACTGCTTTAATTAGTACCTCTCTACTGCACCTAGAATCTGTGGCAAACATGGTCATCTCTTGTCACCTTTCAGACTTCATAGTATCATGGAATGATTTGGGTTGGAAGGGACCTTAAAAGATTGTCTAATTTTAACCCCTTCTGCCATGGGCAGGGGACACGTTCCACTAAACCAGGTTGCTTAAAACCCCATCCAACCTGACCTTGAACTTGAACACTTCCCTGCGCAACCTGTTCCAGTGTCTTACCACTCTCACAGTATAGAATTTTTCTTATATCTAGCCTTAACCTATTCTTTCAGTTTAAATCCATTACCCCTCATGCAGTCACTCCACTCCCTGAAAAAGAGGCTCTCCCCATCTTTCCTGTAGGTCTCCTTTAGATTCTAGAAGGGCTCCTATAAGATCTCTATGGAGCCTTCTCCAGGCTGAGCTTGAAGTAGTATTACTATCTTGCCAAATGCACTGTAAGTATCTTTATAGTAGTGCAAATTAATTACATACCTCTTAAATGTTATATTAGGTTTCTGCTTTACAAAAATCTGAAAAAAAATCACATTGTCAGGAGATTAATTCAATGCTTTTAATGTTTTAAATATCACAAAGCTTTTAGTGTGCCCACTTTACAGCCAGGCCTATCTGGACTTGGTCTGTTGTTCAGACTAGCAAAAAAAAGATCCTGAGTCTTGAGTCTTCTTCTATATTCTGAATCATTTTGCTATATAGACACTTCTTGCTTTTCTTTTAGTGTGCCCACTTTACAGCCAGGCCTATCTGGACTTGGTCTGTTGTTCAGACTAGCAAAAAAAGAGATCCTGAGTTCCAGAGAATCATTTTGCTATATAGACACTTCGTGCTTTTCTCTTCCACCCACATTCTCTCTTCTTTCACTGCTTCTCCCAAAACCTTCTAAATCAAATCTCAATCTGTCCTAATTTTCTACATAACATTTAGAGATTTATTCAGGAAGAAATTTAATGTTGTTAGTTGCAAACATTTATACAGGAACCCAAACAATTCAGAAGAAATTAATGTAGTTTATTAATTTTATGAGAGCTAGAACTTGAACAACATACCTAAATTTCTCCTGGGTATACCTGACTTGACTAGTCAAAGTGGGTACTGCAAGTAAGTGGGTATTTCACAATACTTTCATAGGATTTTGTCCTGATTAAATAGCTTGTTTACAGAGTGCACACTGTAGAATCCAAGGTGATGTGGTAGAAAATGTGTGTCTTTGAGTAACTTGTTAGTGTATATATAGCTGCTGTTTATAGCATGAGTATATAGATGTGACATGGAAATGTCAGGACACTGATGCAAGCAGCTGTTATCTGCTTAACTTCTGAAAGAAAATAATTAGCAAATAGCACTGTAAAGAAAAATAGGGCTGTGCTAAACTTCTAGAAAAAGTGGTCTCTACAACTATATCGCTTCTCTTCCAAACCAGATACCTTAACTGATAGATGTATTGAAAGTTGTAACTGATAAAGCAATGCTAGCTGGTGCTTTAAAATATTTTGTCTCATTTGTTAAAATGGAGATTCACTGGAATAAAGTTTTGCTAGGAGATGAACCATTAGTGTATTGTAGGTTAGAAGTTAAATGTGGCATTTTTCACATGCCCAATTGTAGGGCGTTACCAAAGTGCCTTAGCTGTGTCTTTTACAAGTTAATGTGACATGGCAGGAGTAATTAGTGGTATTTCTGTCCTTTCCTTACTAATTGCTGTTCAGCCACATCACGTATTAAGCACTGGTTTGAATGAACAGCAGGGTGAGGTTTGCTGAGAAGTGTCTGAAGAATGAGAACATCATTGAGACTGGGGTATTGTGAGAACTTTAAGCAGGGTATAGTTCAGAGCCCTGGAGACTGGGATATCCAGAGAGGTTGAAGAGCAGCCTTAGAAGCGTATTGGGCATGTGATACAGGGTTGGCTTTTGTGAGGAGCTGCTAGAAGCTTCCTCTGTGTCTGATGAAGCCAAGACAGACTACACTATTGCTGGCTGGTCAGCAACAGTGGTCATGCCTCTGATAATGGATCTAAAAGGAAGGGAAAAAAAATGTGCAAATGCAGCTGGAGAGAGGAGTGAGAATGTGAGAAAACCAGCTCTGCAGACAGCAAGGTCAGTGACGAAGGATGTGGAGGAGATGTTGCAGGCAGTAGAGCAGATATTCTTCCTGCAGCCCATGGAGGTCCCCAGTGGAGCAGATATCCCCTCTGCAGCCTGGAGAGGACCCCACACAGGAGCAGTTGGATGCCTGGAGGAGGCTGTGACCCTGTAGGAAGTCTGCTGGAGAAGGCTCCTGGCAGGACCAGTAGAGAGAGGAACCTGTGCTGGAGCAGGTTTGCTGGGAGGGCTTGTGACCCTGTGGAAGACCCAGGCTGGAACAGTCTATCCCTGAAGGACTGTACCCCATGGAAAGGGCCCACACTGGTGCAGTTCTTGGACTCTGGACCATAGGAGACACCCCATGCTGGAGTAAAGAGCACCTGGTGTCCAGCCAGGGCCAACCCACCACAAGAAGGCTTTCCAGTGAGAACTGGGTGGTCTGCAAGGATTCATGAAGCTTTTGATTCCCTTTGGCTTACAAGCCTCTGCTTTATACTCATTAAAATAATGTGAAACCATGAAAGTTCAGAAAGAAGCAAACTATATTCTGGGTGGAAGCCTTCAACTACTTCTGTAACTATCTCAAAGATGACACAGGGCATTCAGTACTTAAAGTCCTTACTTGTTTCCTCTATGGAGTACAACTAAGTATGCCTTGGGACAATAAATAAGGCCATGGAATCACACTCTTTTCCTTCAGTCTTTGAGTTTTTCCTGCAGACCTTGAGACCTCTGACTTTTTAACATGTGCAAGGAACTTGCAAGGAACTCACTGTGTATCTCTCAGACCCAGGACCTATTCCTCCTCAGACCTCACCACATTGTTGGTACTATGATGAAGTTTTTGAAGCAGCTAAATGACAGTTCCTTAACACTTTTTTGTGAACATTGTCTCTTTAATAGCTGTACCATCAGCTGAGATGATGGGGAAAAAGCCAGGCAGGCTTAAAATCACACTTGTAACCTCACTGCTCTGTTTGATGTATTACACTTTCTCTAAAGGCTAACATGCCTCTCATTTTTACATCCTCAACCACTCAGGTCAGGAGAGAGTCTAGCATGACACACAAAGCATGGCCAGGATGGTTTTTAGCTTACTGGGATAGGGGTAGTCATACTAGATGGCTGCTAGATTTATTGAAACCCTTAAAGATTCAGGGACATCATTCTCATAATTATATGAGAATTTTTCTCTTAATTGAACCAGACTGTGTAATAGGTAAAAAATTTCATATATTTTTGAAGTTGACAATTCCATTAAAATAAGAAATTGTATATACCTACTGACTGGGAATTGTAAGCTCTTCCATGATTTCTAATAAGCAGGAAATAGTTACAGTATACTAGCTATTCACTGCCCTTTAGTAGGGTCAATTCCTGGTTATATCTCCAGTCAAATGCAGGTTGGAACCTAGCTGTCCAGTCTCAGTTACTATCTAGTAACAGTTGCTGCTTTCTGCCTCTTCCTGCTGTCCTCTTATTAGCCTCAAACCTTTGAGGCCTTTTCCAAATTGGTAACACAGGAATATGAAGCTTTTCCAATTTTCAATTTTTATTTACTGCTGTTTTCATTTCACAAAGGTAAATATTTTCTAAAATATTCAGTAAATACTTCAGATCTGTACTTCATATGAATATATTCGTGGTGATGCCATGACCATCCTGTTTTGGATGCTTAAATGTGTTAAATGCAAAGTGAGATTTGAGTCAGTTGGGTCTTTTAGGCATTAGGAATTGGTCTTTAAATGTGAATATAAAGCCCTTTGCTGTGGCAGGGTGGAATGGCTGCACTGCCAAATAGAACTTAGCCATCTATTAACTTAAGGCCAAGATTTGCTTCAACACTGCTTCAGAAAGAAATCAGGTCTAAATGTTACTAATGTGTGTGTGTGAAAGTTCTGGCAATTTTACTGATGTTTTCTCATGTTAGGACAAGGGTCACCTTAGTGGCAGATTTTTCCAATGCAGTGACCATATGTACAGTTCCTGGCAGCTAATGCTTCAATTAGAATGCTTCAGTGAGGCTACTTTGTGTAATAAGAAATTGAATTAAGTTGGAATGTCTAATAGAAAGAGACTTAGAGAGCGTTTTCTAATGCTCAGTAAATGGTAACTTGAAAGAACATTTCCAGTTACATGCCAAGATTTTTTTTTAAAAGATACAGCTACAGTCTACTTAGAGGGATGTGCAGAATGCTTGGACACAAAAATGATACTCTTCAGAAATGTCAAAATCTAGTCTTTAAAAATCTACATTTAGTTATTTCCTTATTCTGGAAGATGGTAAATTTTGGGGATTGCCAAGTTTTTAAGCTTTATAGTTCCCAAAGCATACATTTCTGAATATTTTCAGGAATACATTGCTTTTACTGATGGGCAAAGCAGTGCTTCAGACTCAGTTCTGACTTGTAGTTCTTGTGTTAAGTATCTATAATATGAGACTGTGCTCATAGTATTTTCCATGAGAAGTGGGGAAGCTCCAGAAGACATGACCAGAAGATGCTTTCTAACATTCTCACCCAAACTAATGAGCAGATGTTGTGCTGTGTCTGTCTCTGGGCAGCTGAAAGCTCAGTATTTCGGAGCCCTTGGTTCAGGTTCCATCACAGGTGTTTGTATTGCCTTGGTTGTCTCTTGAGGCTGTGCTGTCCCCAGCATACTGGCTGTCCTAGCAGTGTCAGGAGCAGTGGTTTTCATTCTGTCCATAGTGCAAGAAATCCTTATGAATTAGTAGGAAGACTTAAGGGAATTTTGTTCCCAATTGGATTTGACTGGCTGGCTACAAACAAAATCCATGTCATGATCCAGC